TCCAGGAGCTTAGGAGAGAGACTAGGGCCATGCATAGATTTGAGAATCATCTGATAGACATACTGGTAGCTAATGAGATCACTGAGATAGTAGAGAACAAAAGAGCCTAGGACAGAACCTTGGGGGACCCCCATTAGTTAAGTGGCTACCACATGGATGGATAAGCAGCAAAGGAGACTGAGGAGGGGTTAAACAGATGGGAGGAGGATTGGAAGAAAGCAGTCTCTTGAAAACTCAGAGAGAAGAGAGTATTCAGAAGAAGGTGATCATCAGTGTCAAAGGCTACACAGAGAGGCCAAAAAAGACGAGGCCATTAAATGTGTCAATTAAGAGATCACTGTTAACTTTGCAGAGAACAGGTACAGTTAAATGATCAGATTTCCCAGGGTACAAGACTGCCATTAGAGGTACAGTTTTATGTGCAGGGATGGAATGTCAAAACTCACTCAAACTAAGGGCATGATTTTTAAAATCCATTAAATCAATAAACAAGACTAACAGAAACCACATTCCCTAATTTCTTTTGGAAAAAATGTGATAATGATCAAATTTCCATATTTACACAAATGTTTCCCTTTATGATATTTCCAACAGTGCATGATACAGCTTGTGCAACTTTGAGCCATTTTTCTGCGGCAAAAATCCTGAAAGAGGTCATGGGGCTCAAAGGGATATGATCTGATAAGGTGACAGAAATGTTGACTCTATTATTTGAGAGTCAGGGTCTTTGTTTCCCCAACATTTCCTGTGCTGTTTTAAAAATAGTTTTCCATAGCTGTTCCAAGACTAGAATGTCCTTTAAGAATTGGCTTTAACAGTGCTATTTGACCATCCAAATGGGGAGTTAGACATCATTGGTCAGAGGCTGAACAACATGGGGGAAAAAAGCCCTGTACTTTTGGTCAGAGGGCTGGGTTTGAGTTTCGGTTCAGACCTTACTGGCTGTGTGACCCTAGGCAAGTCACTCAACCTATCAATGTTCCAGTTTCCACAACTGTATAATGGGAACAATAATAATATTTGCCCTAACCCCTTTCACAGGAAAGAGCTTTTATAAGTCATGAAGTTCTCTGCAAACAGGAGCTGCCTTTTCTGAAACGAATAAGGAACAGAGTTTTTTGTCACACTAGCTTCCTAGGCCCGAGGCATTTCAGAAGAGCTGCCTTGTCTGGACTGACACTGATATCCAAGTGATCATCATCAGGGAGGCTTTTGCAGACAGATTAGGTGAAGCTCATTGATCCTGCAGTCAAAAAGATTATTGGGTTCTAATGACAGGACATCTCTTAGGCACAGAGGAATACTGATCAAAGACTTAAGGGCTGGAAGGAACCTTGGAAGTTTATCTAGTCTAAACCCCCTCATTTTTGCAGATAAGGAAACTGACGCCCAGAGGAACTTAAGTGATGTGCCCACGGTCGAACAGGTTGTAAAATACTTTCATGGTCACCTGTTTCAACCTGGACCCAAGAACCCCCTCCTACCTCATTCCCATCACCCAGACTTCACTTGAAAATCTTTTGGGATAGCTCTGATGATTAGGAATTTTTTCCTCCTATTAAGCTATCTACCACTCTGTAACTTTGCTCCTGGTTCTGTCCTCTGCAGCCAAGCAAAGGCTAGGGGAGGTGATAGTCCCACTGCCCTACTCAGGTCATACAGGGGTGCTACATTTTAGGAAGGTCACTGCTGACCTGGAAAGCATTCGGAGGAAGGCAATCAGGATAACGAAGGGTCTTGAGACCATGTTCTATGAGGGTCAGTCGTAAGAACTGGGCATGTTTAGTCTGAAGAAGACTTGGAATGGGGCAGAAAGGTTTCTGAAGGAAAGGAGAATGATAGCTATCTTCTGATATTTGTGGAAGAGGGACTGGATTGTTACACTTGGCCCCAGAGGGCAGAGCCAACAGCAATGGGATGTGCAAGAGTCAGACTTAGGCTTAAAGTAAGGAACAATCATCCTAATAATTATAGCCTCCTCAAAGTGGGATGGGCAGCCTCAAGAGCTAGTGGGTTCTCTCTTATCAGAACTCTTAGTTTTACTCAATGGTGAGACAACCGCTTGTCTAGCTTGGTTTAGAGGGGGATTTTTTCTGTCAAGGTCTGGCTTTCACTAGATGGCTTCCCAAGTACCTCCCAACTCTAAGTTACTGAAATCTATGAAATCGAATCATTCTTCCACATCAAAGCCCTGATTCAAACACCTGAAAACTCCATTAGAATGTAAACTCACTGCAAGTTGGGACTGCTTCATTTTTTGTGCCCATATACCCAGTGCTAAGCACAACACCTGACACACAGTAGGTACTTAATAAGTACTGGTTAGTTGCCTGATTCAAAATAAGAAGTCACGGAGAGAAAAAGCCCTCATTACATTGTAAAGCCCAATGCAATGTGCGTGAGAGAACTTGAGGGCTGTAAGGGGTCTCAGAGCATCATGTGAAGCCCTCACTGAAGCAAGGCCTCCAGAGCACCCCCAACAAATGACTGTCTCCTTACTGTTCGTCTTTAGTACTTTGGCCAGGCAATCTGAAAACAATCTTAATTCTCACGTGTTACTTGATGTTGCCTTCCGAAAACATAAGAATAGTTTCTGCTACCAAAGAAGCAGAAGATACCACTACGGCAGAAGGATTATTAGAGAGTTGGGAGTGGGGAAGGGGCTAGTGAAGATCCTCTCAGGCTGCTAATCCATCACTTTCCATTACTCTGGCTCAGAAAGCTCCCCCTCAATCTTGGAAAGAGCTGGACACCACATGGCCAGAGAGCCATGCTGTGGGCCAGACTGCCCTGGTGACGAGCAGCCACGCTGTGGAGGACTCCAACAAGTGTGATGGAGCAAAAGGGACCACGTCGTGGATGGGCAGAGCAACAGACTGGAAGTGAAGGACGTGAGGGCAAATTCCAGCTCTGCTGATTACTACCTGTGAGACGCCAAGCCAGTCCCTTACTCCTTTTGGGCCTCAGAAAGGGCTAGATGACCCTCTAAGGTGCCTACAGCTCTGGGTCCAGAAATTTCAACCTTAGGCAAGAAATTTCAAGAACAGATCCTTATAAGGCAAGCAAAACTAAGAACTATTAAAGGGATATTGCAATCGCCTATATGAGATCAGAAGGACAAAGTGTCCTTTTACCAATGGAAGATGAATGAAAATTCACCTCCAATTTCTGATAGGTGGCTTTGATTTCACTCTGCTGATACACAATGACTTCCACATGATGTACAGCAAGAGTGCAAGTCTTACACAAAATATTTAACCTGAATTATTGACTGTGATGGAAGACTCCTAAACTATCCCGAAGTTTAGAAACCACCTGGTAACTCTTTTTCTCTAGAACGCACTTTGCTGTGACTAGGCAAGTCAACAGGTCCAGTAGCCTTCCCTGAGCACAGGCCATGCTCCATGGTGGTGTGTTATTGCTTACACAAGTCAAACATGAGAAATGAGGCTACTAGACTTCACAGGAAGGAATCTCTCCTCCCCTTGGTAACCACATTTGATTCTTCTGATTTGATGGGAATTCAATGCATCTTCAGCTCAGCTCAGAGAGACTGCTGGGGTATAGCTGGTCCTAGTTATCAATGACATCCTCCTGAAGTAAGGGGTGGAAATCTCTATTTATGGTACATTTCCAGTTGTGCACACTGTTGTCCTGACACAAGCCAGGGGAACAAAACTGCTTGTCCTTGAAAAAACAGCAGTTCTTACATACAAAAATCACAGCTATCTGAATTATTTCCTACCTGTGACAATGCATTCAATATAAAGCAGCTGAAATATGGAATGTCTCTTGAAAGGGTACACCATCACTACACTCACTGTAAAAAGAAAGACAAAGACCACGACACAGTAAGACACCCAAGTCCAAACATACTCTAGGTGATAATGAGCTCTCGGGCAGCTTAGTGGAAAATTAATTTTTGTAACTTTTATCATTTAATGTTAAACATAATCCTCAAAAGACAGGAAAGGACAACTGAAGTTGTAAGAGTCCTTCAGCTTCCCAAGAAACATACGTTCTGAAACGGTTGCCTGATCTGAGATGAGAAGTCATGGAGACAGAAAGCGCTCATTACATTGTAAAGCCAAATGCAGTGTGTGTGAGAGAGTTTGACGGCCCACAACATTTCCTGTCTGCCACTTCCACATGTGAAAATGTTAGACCTCATTATGTTACTCCAGGTAAAAGCTTGATAATCTGAGGTGGGCTCAGGCTGTCAAGGCCACAGGCAAATTTTTGAAATGGTTTTGCAGCAGAAATGTAAAAACACTGATTATCTTTAGTTGATAACTAACCTGAAATGTTCAGCCTATCTAGAAACAGGAAAACAGAGATAGAAAGCGCTCGGAAATACAGATGAGGTCACAGATGGTCAATCCTACTAGAATTAAAAAAAAAAAACAACCAGGGAATTCAGCAGCACCCTAAATGATCACTTGGGAGAATTTTTTTGTGTGTCTGGGATATAACCTAGGAAGGCTGTTTCTTCTGGAGTATTTTACCCCCTCTATGTAACATGGTGGTACAGATGTAGTCTTACTCAATTACATGAAAAAATTTCTCTCTTTTACCTAGAGCAACAATACAGCAAATTTACATAACTATTATATTCTATGGGGAAAAAAATACCTGAAATTTGGCTTCATTTAGGGATTCAAGGCATATCTGAAATCTTGAAAGGCAGGATATAAAGAAAAGTTTTTCTAATCTATTGTATCAGGATCAAACTAAAATACCACATACAAATATTAACTTTTTAGGCAATGCTTAAATAATAAAAAACAATTCTCATGTTTTTGTATTCAAAATATTTTATATTAATCATTCAAACTTAATTTTTTATACAACTAATGCATACATAATCAGAGTTTTCTATCTCCTAAGTCACATCTCACCGATATAAAAGGAATACAGGCATACCCTACATCACATTATTTCAGTCAATGATGTTTTGCAATAATGTCATTGCTGGATGGCAGTCGAACCCCATTATCATATCATGAAACCCTGCCATAACATCACTCAGATAAATGCCCACTAATGACATTGTTCCTAATTAATTATCCCTCGTAATGCCTTGTTTAAATATTGTCTTGTATTTTAGTGGAACCAATAAATGAGGCTAGGTGGGGAGAGGGGTGGGATGCCTGTATCTGAGAAAGGCTCTGCCCTCCAAATGATGTTTTGCTCTGGAGTATTTTATATTTGATTGTATCCTATGAAACAGAGGTGTGAAGGAAAAGAGAGCAATTCCCTTTCAGATTAACCTCCTCCACTGAGGACTGGGTTGGCCTTGCTCATAGCCCAGGCCTTGGCAACAGCAATGGATTTCACATGACTTGAGGCCAGATTCACAAGTGCAGCGGCAGCAGCGTCCACGTCACAAAGAAGCTTGGCTTTCAGGAGGTACCTTGCAGTCGTGGGTTACATTTCTTACACGCAGGAACCTTAATGGAGAAGGGACGGTACAGTGTTTGCAGTGTATCTGACACTCGACAAAGCCACACTGAGTCCAGGTTTCTAGGGCCAGCCAGTCTACAGAGGCTCTGACTGAAAAGTGGCTGAGATTAGGTGACCACAGAAAACAGGGGTTTGCGTACTCTGGCTAAAAAGCCCCTGCTTTCGTTTTGTTGGATTATGTGCAGTTTTTGCCTTGATTGTGTGAATACTGAAGACCTGCCTCTAAGAGTCTGTCATGTCAGCCTTACTGAGTGCAATTGCCAATTCAAGGTCTTCCTGTTCTTGTCTTCGCAACCGAGCTAGCCTCTCCTGCTCTGCTCTCTCACTCTCGCGCTTGGCCCACGCCAGCTGCTGCTCCTCATTTCCAAACTAAAAAATAAAAATGAACTTTGGTTAATAAACTCTGGAGACATTTCTTGATGGTCCCACAAAGCATATATGCAAGATGGTGAAAGTCAAATGCTGGGAGGGGGAGAGGGAGGGCAGGTGAGAAAAGCATTTGCAGTGCGGAGAAAACCTAGCATATATTAGCAAATGCTAGCGAGAAGCATGGATGACACAGCGTATAATATTTTCATTAAGGAGTATTCCTAGTCAGGCTTGTAGGAGCGTTGCTGACTGAAGTTACAGTGTGGGGATTGGAACCAGAAACCCACAGCCCCTTTCATTTCCTTTCTCTGTGATATGGCACTGAATTCCCCTACCAAGCCAGCAACTTTTCAAGCTGACATTCTCTGGGGCCTCAACCTCATGCCAACAAATAGCACAGAGCCAACAAATAGCTTCAGAAAAAGAATCTCCCAAATACAATCATTGCTGCCAATATTTCCCCCACTGGGCTGCCCCTCCCCCAAACCAGAAACCCCATTTGCTGCAGAGTATTGAAACAGATAAGGTTGTGTGCACATGGATACATTGCAAGGTGGCACCTTAACTACACTTAGGAATATTAATTATTGTTTTAGAGCCTCTTTCCACAAAAATCTGTAGGCCAGTTTGATGCTACACTATGACATCAAAAGTAAGAATACATCCTGCTATACAGGTTCATTTTTTAAAAAGTTAACTCTCAGCAAACACAAGCAAAATTCAAATGATGCTACAGACATAAAATGCACATGTGAGCTTCCAGATTAAAGATTTCTATGAATGCTTTCAAGTGTGGCAAAAATGCTTCTTCCTAATTCTTCCTAATTCACTGTTAAGTTTCAAAGATTTAAATGAATCACTACAAAGTTAAAAACCTGGAGGTACAGTCCCACTGAATTGTACCTGGAATTTTTTTTAAAAGACTTTAGTTCTTTAAAATAAAAATTAAAAAAACAATCTCTGAGATTTTATTCAAAACAAACTTGAAATCTGGCTTTTCTTGTGTTATGGTATTGACTGATCTCTTTCCAAAGTAAAAACGGGATAGGGGTGGGTGATGATAAATGATCTGGTGTAACTTTTCTATTTAAAATAAACACCCTATGGAATACTGCATATATTGTCAGACCTGACTGATGCGTTGTTTAGTTTTGTGGAAGTGCTTTTCTCCCCCATTCTTTTTTTACTCTTTGTTACAAGGGCTAGCTCACTGGGAAAAGGGAGGGGAAGGTATGAATTCAGAAATTAAAGTGACATGAAACCAAAATATATTAATATATTTTAAAATGAAGTAAAATCTACACACACACCCCACGAATATAATTATCATGGTCATAATCACAGAATGTCAGAATCAGAAGGCCCCTTAGAGATCCAATCCTCTTTACAGATAGACACATGGAATCCCAAAAGGGGAGGTAAATTGCCCAAGGCCACAGAGCAATTTAGTGGCAGAGTAGGGACAAGAAGCTTATGCTTCCATTTGCCCTGACAGCCCAAGTATGCTCATCGTTTAATTGCAAGTTATAGTACCTTCTCTAACTTGACTGTGTCATTTCATAAAATAGCATTTAGCTGAGTAAATGAAGTTTACCTTCAATTCCCTGAGTATTCTCATCACTGTAAGGAGGAGCTTAAAGAATGAGTCCACTTTACAGAGGTAGAGTCTAATCCCAGAGAACAGAGGAGGAGAAAGGAGAATGGGAATTTTCAAATCCCATCTCTCTGAAGCCAGATCATTTGAAGGTGTCCCAAAAGACTTAGTGTAGTTTTAAGCTTTAACAGCTTTTTGAACAGCCTGTACAAATATTTCCAAAATTTATAGTAGCAATTGGCCTCAATCCTCCGTGCCACTCATTCCTCCAAATCCCTCCCTATTTGTTGGGTGTGCACAGAGCAGATATTAAAGAAGATATAAAGGAACTCCCTGAATAAGGAACCAATAGTACATTTCTTGTTTGCAGCCTACTGCCTCTTTCTGTGCCCCCACATATCATCTACCATAGTGCTTTGCAAACTAGGTACTCAATATGTATATGATGAATTTAAGTACTCTTTGGAGGTTTTGCTAATTCCTCGCAACTTAGCAAATGTTGTACGGGGGACAAGAAAAGATAAGTGCCACAGAAGTAAATGAATTATGCTAGCTGCCAGTCATCTTTGCTAAGAGGTGGAGCTGATTCTGATAGGCACCCACCGAAGCTCAAATCATACAAGCGATATAGTAGGCATTCAATCAAAGTTTATTGATTTCATTCAACCTAGCTTACAAGCCCTTAATTTTACAGATGAGGAAAGTGAGGGGTAGAGAGGGAGACTTACCTAAGGGCACACAACAGGTTAGGGGCAAGGCCAGGACTAAGACTCCTGGTATTCTAATTTCCAGTTCCACGCCCTTCCCACTAGACTACGATATATTCCTGGCTTTGCTTTCATAGTTGATCATATGGCACAACATTTTAGGAGTGCTCATTTTTAATGCAAACACATCTAGCATCATCATCATCGCAACTGCAAACTGTTTCAGTGAATGATTATCCAAAGACCAAAGGTGATTCTTACTCCCTCAAAAAGAAGACTCCCAGTTTGTGATTTGCACCTATTCAAGAGAGATCTACTATATTTTGGAAGACTAAAGGTTTCTCATTGATAGGGGTGTAGATTTCAATTACTTGCTTTAAGCCTAACAGAAGTGACATAAAGTAGGCACCACTGGTTTAGTATAGGTAACCACTATCCTCGTGAACCACACACTGCACAGCATCCCATGGATTTGACAGATCTGAACCTTACATCTGTGAAGATCTCGATACATCTAGTTAAAAGACCGAGTCTGAGCCGAGAAAATAGATATCTAGCTCCTTGCACACAGAATTCAAGCTGCTAAGGAATTACTTAAAATATATTATTAGGCTGTCTTTTATTAGAAGGCACCAATTCTAGCAGCCCAGTCACCAAAAAATAACACATTTAGTTAAAATAAAGGATTTTTTACTACTAGGAACTACCAGGATTAAGTAACTTTTTTTTTTTAATTATGTAACCATGGACCATTAGAGCTAGAAAAGAACCTAGAGATCTTCTTGTTGAACTCTCTCATTTTACAGATAAGGAAACTGAGGCCCAGAGAAGGGAAGTGACTTGCTCACAGTCATATGGCCAGTTCGTGGCAGCCAGGACTAAGAACTCTGGTCTCCTGACTCTCAGTCCTGGCTTACTTATTTCCACACTACCACGCTGTCTCCTTCATCAGAATCACCACTGTATTACGTAATTAATAGCTTACTAGCTTCCTTACTATGAGAAAGTATGTGAAAATGTTTTTTTCCCCAAAGAAATCAGTCATTCAGAGAAAGAAATGTTATCCAACTGCCAATAATGATATATATGATGTGGGCCAATCTGATATTTCCTCTCCTCCAAAAGCAGACTTCTAGGAAAGGGCCATTGTTACTAAACCACAGATCTTCCTTTCTAGCATGTATTTTTTAGGTCTTTTTTTTTTCTTAAGAAATACCAAAAACAGGTGATATTTTACCTAATGAAAATCAAAGTAAATAACACCAACAACTATTTCTAGAACAAACATTCCACTGTTAATGATCAAATCTCTTATACATTCAGAGTGTTTAAAAGTTGCTGAACTAAGACAAACTTCTTAGTTGGGGGTGGGAAGAGGAAACAAATGGGGCATCATGAATGGAAAAACAAAACTCCAGATTCACTGAACTTAAGCATTTACCATGTTTCTTTCAGGCAAAAAGTGAAATTTTTAATACTTTATCCCATGAACATCAATTCCAAAAGAAGCCACATTTTCAATGTGCTGGATGGCTACTGTTATTTTAGCCATCATTTCTTGTGCTTGAAATAATAAAAAGAATTTTTTTTTAATATTTAAAAAACATTCAATATAACCATTAGAAGGTAATGGAAAAAAAATAAAAAGAAAAGAAGCCATAAAGAGCTAAAGATACGAGTTATTACAGACATTTGGCCCCTCCATCATTTTATAAATGGACACAACTTTGCAGAGTAAGGCTTTGAAGACTCACTGCACACTGGCTACTATCCACTTAGCAGATTAAATGTTCCAACCTGAAATGCTACTGAAAAGAAAAGGGTCCTCAGGGCCTCTTGAATGGCAAATCTCTTCAAAGTATAACGAAATTTGCTAACATTTAGAGAAAAAAGACTACATTTGAAAAAGCAAACATTTTAGAATCTCTTAAGATTATGGTACAACTGAATGGGGGAAAAAAGAAATCAAAACCAAACCACATCAGTAGATCAAATCATCTCTCCCAATGTCCATGGGCTGAGTCTGCTAGCTGATGATTTCCTTTGGAAAAAAAAAATGAGTGTTTAAAGATGGAAAGGCAACTGTTAGCAGTAAACAGTGTGGTATGTAAGCCCCACTGGACAGGATTAGGCTCCCTTCCTTAAAATAAAGATAGTTGGTTATCAAGATTACTTCTTGTCTACATTAACAACTATTCTGGACAAGCCAAAAAAAGGCTGCTAGTCAAAATGGAGAAATATTGAACCGATGGACACTGGGCTATTTAGAGATCCTTGGGCTTTCCAAAGATGAACAACGACCAAATGCAAGATGTACAACTACGTCTTTTATAGAGATCAGCCATTTTCCTCAAATTGCCATTGAATTCAACTTACCCTCTTCACTATCCAAGAATGTTCTTGGGTAATGAATATCTGTTTCTTTCTTTCTTTCTTTCTTTCTTTCTTTTTTAAAGAATCTATAAGAAATTAAGTGCTAGTCAAGAAACTATAGATAAAGCAAGTTTTGTTTCTGACTTTTATTAACAATGTCACCATTTTGCATACATTCACAAGAATTTAATTAAGCACTAAGCAGACAGGATTTAACTACCTCAAGTTATAAACTATTTACAGAATGCCAAATGCTCTGATAATTTCAGGAGCTTAAGTACCTCACGTACACTGAGAAAAAGATAACGCATGGTGCACTTCACCTAAACACATCTGGTTTGTAAAAAATGAACTGAAGTGTTTATTGTGCACTAATATGCCAACAAAACGTGTCTAAAAAATGATAGTCCATGAGTTAAATATCTCTACATCACAAATTTCACAACTAATGACCAAACAGGTTGCTTTACAATTCATAAGTATAGGTTGTTAAAGTCTGCCTCTGATATCTCATCACGGCATGGAGATGACCCATGAGCTCCAGCTGGTTCTAGGAAGCTGGGCAGACTTAAGAGCACAGTACTGTACATCCATCCCCTAAGGACCAGCCTACTTATGTTGGGAGTGGCACAGTCCTGGAGCTGCCTAAAAAAAAAATGACCATTTTTGGCCACAAGAAGTAGCTAAACACTTTCACAAGGGTGGTTCTAAGGTTTGTCATCCACATTGGAGGAGGGAGCACCTGCAAGGATGAAATGATGGATTCTTGAAAAGACTCAAGTATAAAGGTTTTTGGTGAGGTTTTTTTTGTTTGTTTTTAACGGACTAAAAGACTGAGCAACATATCATCAAACCTATTTTAATATGTGGAAGAAAAAAAGCCTGAAGATGCTTAAAGAAGAAATTTGTTGTCCAAGAATAGGTAGTGAAAAGTCACTTGAATAAATATACGAAGTTTAAAAATTCTAAATATTTTCTCTGTCCACGCTGAAAACAAACTCAGACTTTTAAAACTCTGGCATTTATTTCTGAAAAGGCACTTATTTTTGTTCCAAGAACCTTTGAGATTCCTTGATGAAACAGAATGTGGATATTCTAATAATAATTTCCTAAGAGGGCCTCAGAGTGTTTTTCTTGCATGGTTTCTGTTTTTGATGTAACAGATTACATGAACACTAATCATTTTTCAATAATCACACTTCACGGTTCAGGTCTTCATAATTCATACTGGTGGTACACAACATACTGTGAAAGGACTGTCAGAATTTTTCTACAAACAATTGAAATCTCTCTTTGCTATGGAAATTTCCAGGGAACGGCAAAACCCCAATATAGATTTATTCTATTGCGCTTAGCACAGTGCCTGGCACATAGTAGGCGCTTAGTAAATGTTTATTGAATTGAAATATGAAAACTTCTGAAGGGTTTTACATCTTGGCTCTCAAAACTCAAATACAAAGTGGCCTTTCATGCAACAAAACAATACAAAGAGGCTACAACAAAGAACGTAAAAAGGCCTGTTTTCCCACCCTACTGGATAGTAGACATGTCCCCCTTTAAAGTACTGTTAAATTCACAGTGATTTTTTTATTAGCATTTTTTTTTTACAGAAATAGAAATACAGGATAATGATGAGAACAGCATGAAGTACTACTAAGAGACACAAGCCAGTGGACAGCAGGTTTGCAGTTTAAAAAATAAAAAACCCAAAAGACTGCTGCAAGCGAGGAGCGGAAAGTGGTTGGCTCAGAGACAATGAACATAACTTACAGAGCTGAAGTCTGCAAAACCCAAGGAAGAGTCTTTAGGAGTTTGAGTTGAAGAGGAGGGAGCAAATGGATCGTTTCCACTAAATGGGTCCCCAAAACCCTTTTTATTTTGAAACGGGTCACTGCTGTCAGCCCCAAATGGCTGGAATGGATCAGGGGGTTTGGAAAAATCTGCAGACCCGAGCTGGCTTACAGGTGTACTTTTACCTGGAAAGTTTAGGAGAAAAAAAGGAGAAAAAATATATAGGTTACTTACCATGGAAAAAGCAAAGCCCCAAGTTGGAGAGCCCTGGATTCCTTTCCCCCATGAAGCCATTTCCCCCTTTTTGGAATGATCTTAGAAGTCATCTCATGTTTTAACTTATGTAATAACCAAAGGAGTTCAGTATCTTCCCTCAGCAACTTTTAAAATAAAGTTGTTCAACTCCATTTTCATAAGTGTTTGTGAATGATAAAAGCAAGATAAATGCAGGATGACTTCTGTTAATGCTTTTGACGAGAGACTTAGAAATTAGAGGCAGTCATTTAAAAAAAAAAGTTATAGAACCAGAAATGTTTAAAAGGTATTCGTTTCTGTTGCTGCAAGATTAGTGAAGAAGACATTGCAATTTGAGCAGCAAAAATTATGATCAAGAAGAAAAAGACACTGAGTATGAATTTTTATTGGCAGCTGAAAACAAAGTTTAGTTTCTATATTATGTAGGTAGACAGGGTTAATTATGTGTGAATGTTAAGTTTTATAACATCTTTGGTAGCTCTTTAGAAAAGTCCAATGAGCCCCACTCCACTTGAAAGGTTCTTGTTTTCCTTCTACCACTCTGGCTTCTTGGCAACTGCATAGTTTGAAGAATAAGAAAACTGTCCTTGAAGGTGGGGCAATCCAAGGGCTTTGAATAAGCAGGGCACAACAGGCGTTCTTTCTTAATCTATCACTTCATTATGCTGAAGAATATAAGCTCCCTGATGGTCAAGACTTTCTTTTTTTTTTCCCACCTTGTATTCTTAGTGACAAACATAGCACCTTGTACATAGCAGGTACTTAATAAATGCTTGTTTGATTAGGGGGAAAAAAAAACCTAAAATATTTTTCTTCTTGGTGTTTAAGTTAACAGTGTATGGGAGGCAGCATAGGTGGACTGGGTGTCAAAAAGAATCGCCTGGTTCTCCTATTAATTAGTGTGGTTTAGGCAAAGCACTCATTTCCTTCTCTGGATCTCAGTTTCCTTACATGTAAAAAAGACTAGAAGATCTGTAGGGTCCAGGGTCCCTTTTTCCAGCTTGCTCAGATATACTACATTCCCAAGTTTATTCCATTTCCGATGTTCTCTGCTCTAAGGTCCCTCCCAATTCTGATCCTCAGTCACACATATGCTCTAAATCTCCCTTCCAGCGTGAACATTTTTAGGTATTCCAGGGCCTTAGAGATCGTGTAGTCCAATTTGATTTTATAAATAAAGAAAACTAAGCCTGGAGAGGTTGAATGATTTGCCTAATGTCACACAGGGAGTAAACAACAGAGCCAGGAGTAAAACTGCCATCTTGGGACCCAAAGACAGTATTATTTCCCCCTCCACCATGATGCCCAAAACACGATCACTCAGCTTCCTTGTCTCTATCACAGGACTAGCGGGGCAAAGGTTCAGTCAGAAAGTACTGAACTTGGGGCAGCTACGTGGTGCAGTGGATAGAGCACTGGCCTTGGAGTCAGGAGGACCTGAGTTCAAATCCAGCCTCAGACACATAACACTCACTAGCTGTGTGACTCTGGGCAAGTCACTTAACCCCAACTGCCTCACCAAAAAAAAAAAAAAGTACTGAACTCAAGAGTCATGGAAGGAAGGATCTCACATCAGAGGTCCTAGGTTTGACTCCTGGCTCAGTCACATGTGATCTACGCGACCTTGGATGAGACAATTTAACTTCTCTGGGCCTCAGTTTGCCCATCTTTAAAATGAAAGGTTAGAAGAATCCTGTTGAAATCTCCAAATCTAAACCTGAGACCTTATGTCCCAGGTGCAGGTCTCACTTCTGGCTCTTACCCACTGTGTGGCCAAAAGCAAGTCACAACCTCAGTTTCCTCATCTATAAAATGGGGATAAAAATACCTAAACAGTAGAAGCAGCCCACTGTAGTGGACAGAGTGCCAGCCATTAGGTCAAGAAAACCCGTTCTGCCTCTGACACTTAGTAGCAGTCTAATTATTGGCAAGTTACTTAACTCTCTAAGGCTATGTCACAGATGGGTTGCCAGTGTGCACTGGCAAAAGCAATTTCCACACTGGGAGTCTCCCACACTGATGAAATCACAGGTATAGACCAACCTCTCCTTTCTCCCTAAACTGGACCACCTTCATCACAGGACTGTGAGGATGAAATGACATGACATAGCTAGGGCGCTTGCCAAACCTCGCTGTTCTATATGGATGTCAGTTATTATTAACCGGCCCAATACAGCAACAACAGTAGCTCACTAGTAATGGAAGTAGAAGAAAAGCGGGCCAGGGCTACGGACGGATAAGCACAGACTCATCTGCATCCCTGGCAGACGTGGATGTGGTGTTCTAGTGAAAGAGGGTCAGTCAGTATTACCCTCTTTATACACAAGGGCCATACCTTGTGCACTACAGCTGATATTCAACAGTCAGCAAATTACTAGATTGTGCCTCATGTAAAACTTCTGCTTCGTCTAATTATTTCTTTAGGGGATAGAATCACCAGCTCAAAACTGACGGAACACCAGAAGCTCCGTAATCCAACCCCAATTTTTTTAACCAAAACAAGCATCCTCTCTTGCGCATAATTTGATGTCCAATAACAAAAGGGTCACGTAGCACAGGACAAGGCAAAGCGTACTTGTGACCCCTCTCTTGTTCCCAAGACTAACAGTTGTTTTGAAAGGCAGAGGCAGGAAGCAGAAGTGTCCAAAGAAGTACAATCCACTAATTTTCTGATCACAAAGACATTTTTGGTCAGTTGTTTTTCTTTAGTTTATCATAGTGGTTGATGGTTTTTAGTTACATGTATGTGTGGCCCCATCCTTCCCAAGAGTTTATTATTCTTATTTTCCCCAACACATAAGAGTGACTTCCCTTCAGATCTCCAACCTCTGAATCCTTCTTTAAGGGGTCAGCTCAGGGGCCACGTCTTCAAGGAAGGCTCCCCAGATATACCCATTGCAAGTGATTCCTTCCTCCCCAAATCTTTCATCCCTCTCTATTACCCTCTTCCATGAAATTATCCATTTCTACCTTGTATTACAATTCTCTGTGTATACGTCTTATTCCCCACTAGACTGCAAGCCCCTGGAGGGTAAGAAGTGTTATTTTTCATCTTTGGTAACTCCAAATGAGAATCAGTGACTTCTCCAAGAGAAGGAGCATCCCACACAATTGCTAAAGCACTCTTAATTTTGCTTTGTCATGTTAGAAACTGTAAGGATATGGAAAAAATGGACACAATTGTTAAGATCAATGGGGAAACCTGTGGGAAACACAGTCAAGAGAAGGTCATATGTTCCACAAAATTTGGGAACTACTACTGTCTTCTCTGATACCCATGCTTTTTTTTTTGGGGGGGGGGAGATTCAGATTCCTTCATGCTTTTCATATCATTATGGTACATTTTTTAAAAGACTTCTAGTCTCAATAATAGGTGAACAATAGGAAGACTAATATGCCTAACTCTAAAAATCTAAGAAAGCGCAGTCTCCTTCATGCTTTATAGGTCACACAGTGATGAAGAACTGAGTGTGTGCACAGCTATAATTCACAATGGGGAATAAATTCTCTTTCCTGTGTAAATTCTCCTTATGAAATAAATTGCTACCAAAGCCCCATTCCCTGGCTTTTCTCACTTTGATCCTGCTGTTCCTCTTGTCTTCTTCCTCTCTCTCCAGGCTCTAGATTTCCAGTATCCCAATGCTTCTCTAACTTTTTCTGCAAACGTACTTTTTCTTATTTCCTGCATTCCATCATTCCTTTTTTCCTTCTCCCGATCTCCATTTTAATTTCTTCTCTGAGCGGAGTGATCTTGGCATGGGTTGGGAAAATCTGAAAGAACTGGCCTTGAAGATTTGCCTCTCCTCTCCACTGGACACTCCCCGCAAACTCCTACTCTGCTCTGCTCTAAGGGAAGCAGCCAAAATGTAGCAAAGTCCAGGGCTTCCCAGCCTCTGCTGAGGACAGATGACAGCTGTGACCTGCATCTTCTACCTGCCTATTCACCTTTATACTTGTCATCACCATAGAAAGGACCTGAATGGAATAGAGAGGCTCTTAAAGAAGGTAGTACAGAAAGGCCTTGCAATGAAGCTAGGGAGCAACAAGGTTGTGGTGTCAATCAGCGAGTAGAAAGTGGCAGCATATATCTAATTTTACAAGTAGAAGCTGGGATATTCTCAGCCCCAGTGAAATTCTAATTCCCTCAGGATGCCCCCGAACCAAGCAATGATTTGACATCCATATTTTAGATAAATGTAACCTAAGTTTGCCAAGCCAGGGAATGAACTCTGACAACAGTTCTGCTTTAGCACATCAATGCTGTTGCCTATGTCGATTCCAACATCTACAAGAGGTTAAACAGCTTAACCGTATTCTAGTAGAAAGAGCACCAAATGGAGATTTAGAAAACTTAGGCTTGAACCCAGGTCTGTCGAATCCAAGCTGTTGAATTCCTAACACTTACTAGCTCTCTGACCTTGCACCGCATCATTTTAACCTCTGAGCTTTGGTTTTCTCATATGTAAGTAGGAAATAATACTTGCATAGGACTATTGTGAGGCAAGGACTTACTAAACTGCAATAGAAATGTGAATCACTTTGTTCTTGACTCACTCAGTTTTCTGAATGCAAATTTTCTGATGGCATAGCAGAGACCAGCTTAGCTGCATAACTGGCCACCCCTTCAGACTTATCTGGTTGGTGCCACATTTCTGGCTGCGAGCCCCCAGAGGCATTTTGTTTCTTCACTGGCCTAGTGGACAGTTAGTGAGCTGCTGGCACACAGAACATGCTGATGATGCCAGGGATGCAGCAGGGAGAGGTGCAGCACACAGTTTTCAATGCTGTGTAAAAGGCTACAGTAAAGTGTAGATTGTGCTGCTTCTAAGACAAATCTTCTCAAGTTGGTCAGATGTCCCATTTAATAGTAAATGTTGCTTTTTGACTTATAACAAATTCAGTTCTCCCTTTTTAAAAAATGTCATGCCCA